CATAAGAGAAGAAGAAAACATGTTCTTATTAAAGTTAAAAAACAAGAAAATAAACAGAACTGTGAATACAATTTAGAGATTAATAAAGAAAAAATAAAGAAAATTCACACTCACATTATTAACACTTACAACACTTAATTCTCTCATAACTATCAATTTCTCTCTTCAAAGAAGCAGAGAGTATCATATTCATAATACAGACAATTATTGCATTTAGCATGAAGACTGTCAGAAATGCACAGACTTCAGAGAAGCTGAATATCAGAACATACACAGTTGCAGCAGAATCTTGAAGACTGGTCATCTGTGTGTGTAATCAGATATCTCTCATAAAGCTGTGTTCACTCTCTCAGTTGTGCTGAAGTATTCAGCCTGAAAATAATAAAGATACAGAGAGAGAGCTCATCTGCTCAGATCAACTCTTATTATAAATTCATGACATTTGCATTGCCTTGACTATCTGGATTTTACAGGTACTCAGAGACTCATCTTTCATTGACAATGAGATTGCAGAAATGCACTGCAGTGTAAGAACCATTGATAGAGAATCTAGACATATTCACATATACCTGGTCAGAGATTGTGCAGACAGGAAGAGAGTGGTTGTAGGCCTGTGAGACTGCAGAAGACACTGACAACATCAGAAGCTTTGCAAGAACTGTCAGCTAGAGTCTGTAAGAAATTACTTATGAGAAGACTTACAGTAAAGAAAAGGACTGCACTGCTTGAAGCCAGAAGCTGATCTGGAAGAGGGATGAAATGAGCTGCTGGTCTGAAGATTGGGTGCAGTGGCAGGGCTGAGAAGAATGAAGGCACAGTCATGAATAATGATGTCCCTGCTTCACCAGCCAGCAAAAAGTGACTGAAGAAGTCACAGAGACATCTACAAGAAGCTCAGTGATAGCCAGACATTGTTTGTGAAGATGTTGAAATTGAAAAAATTTTTATTCTTGAGAAGTTCTTGAATTAATACACAGATATTATCAGAAACACTCTCTCTCTATCATCTGAATGAAAACACTTCATGAATAAATGAGAATACTCACAGTTTATGAGAATGAGAGCTGTTACAGAAAAAGAGAAAAGAAGATGAGATTTCACAGACAGATCTGAGATATTTATACTACTCTAGAGAGATTTACTTACACTGTGAGTGATTCTGTGAAACAGTCAGATCACTCTAGTAAACAAGAGTGATTATGAATCACAGGCCTGAATCTTTCTATATGATTATAAAGAGTGATTGCAGACTGCAGATATCTTGATTCTACAATTCTATAAAGTTGATGAAAGAATGAAAAATTCCTCACAATTCTACAGTGTCAAAGAACAATGATTTGTAAGAATGAATAAAAGATCAACTTACAAATGTTTCTCTTTGATGAGAATAATCTTACAGAGAGTGATTCATCTGCAAGATGAATCTGTGTAATAATCATACAAGAATCTTGTGAAAATGATTGAGAGTCAATCAGAATCCTTCTGTATGAAAGATGTGAGATGAATCTGTATAATAGTCAGAGAAGAATCTGTAGACTATAAAGAATCTCACAGAATAAGAAACTGAGTGACAGACTCTTTTCTCTTTATAATAACAAGGGATTTTTTCTCACTGAGGTTTTTTACAGATATAAAGGATTTTTAGTGAGTATCACTGCAGTGCTGAGCTGACTATGAAGTCACTCAGTGAAAGGCTTCACAGACAAAGCCTTAGAGAGAGAGAGATATGTAAGAAATCCTGCTTCTCATGGATTTTTTACCCCTATTTCTATCTCTCATGTAATCAATAGGGCTAGTGGCCCTTGGCTACACACAACTATATAGACTGGAGTTTGTGAATACTATTCACAACTCAGCTTGAATGCTATTATACACTTGACCTCTACATTTATCTTCCTACTGTAAACACTTCTAGTAGTTAACAGTACATATCACACCAAGCTGCAAACACCTGAATAATCGCCTGCGAGCACTTATTCTTACATGTTCTCATCTATAATATTAACTGTGTGAAGAAGCAGACTGCTCTTTTTAAAGATTTCTTCTAAGTCTGTGATCATACACTGTGCTTGAATTATGCTAAAATAGTGATATTTTATTTCATCAGTAAATTTTGTATAATCTGACAGATCTATCTTCTTTCAATTCTTCATCAAAGAAAAGAAATAGAATATGAAGTTAACATTTATTCTGAAGTTGAGTAGATATCTCACTGATATCTCTTCATTCAGAGTATACATTGTGATTATAACATGAACTTGAAAATGTAAGAATTATCAATTCTTCAATTCTTTCTCTTCTTTATCTTCTGCAGATATGTTTGTCAGAAGAGAAGTTAACTTTGAGAAGATATCTTCTCAGTTTCTTTTCTTCTTCAGCTTCTTATAATCACTGATATAGTGATTATCAGCTCTGCAGTTAAAACAGAGATCTTTATTAAATCTTTTTTAATATTTCTTCATAGTGAGTGAAGAATCAGAATACTTGAAATTCTTCTTTACTTTCTCTACACTGAAGCTGTCACAGTGCTGTTTAGATTCTATCATGAGTTACTTAGAAGAGATCTTGTTAATCTTTTTTTCAGAGAATTAATTATTCAAATAGATTCAGAAAGTCAGATTGACAAGCTTAGTATAATTAATTAATAAACTCTGATACTGTGATATTATTGTTCACATCTTATGAGTCAGCTTTATATGATAAAGCTGTGTTTTTAATTGATTCAAATTATCAGTCAATTTCTCTCAATATTCTTCAAATCTTGTGTTAAAATTGAAAGAATTCTCATTATCTTATTAATATAATGTATTAAACTACTATGCTGCTGTGAAGCTGCAGTTGCAGTAATCTTTAATTTAATTCAGTAGAAAGTTCTTGAATTCTTCTCAAGTCATAATAGTATTGATACACTCAAGCTCTCTCTTCTTAATAGCTCAAGTAGTCACAGAGATGTCTTCAAGAAGATTGACAGTATAGATTACTTATATCTCATGAGTATTATACTAGCTCAGATTAAGATGGAATTTTCATTCAAGAATATAGATAAAGCTGTGAAATTCAGATAAGATGTTTCTCTTATATCTTAGAGAATCTCTGATCTTAATCTCTCTATCTCTATAATAGATGTAGGTGTGTAGAGACTGTGATAGTGACAGAGCAATTGAAGAGTCTATGTTAAAATATGCAGTGAGTTCAGAAATCTTGAATTTCTGTCAGAGTAGAGATGTACACACTCAGAGAATAATGTAGTGTTTTTCTCAGAGAGTGAGATCAGATCAGTCTCAGCATAGATGCATAAGATTATATCAGTCTGTTAGAGCTCAACTGATTCAAATATATAATCAGATTAAGTGATTTAAATTGTAACATAACAGAACTGAAGTGATAACTAGTTAGCAGTGTTATATAGAAGTAGTTATTTAAGAAGCTATATAAGTAAGCTTGACTATCTTGCTTAAATAGTGAGCTCATAGACTACAGAGTTATTGTGAGAATATCACAGATATAATACTTAGTATACTAAGAAGATTGTATAAGACACACAGTAACTTCTGTATATATTTCAGTAGAAGAAAAGAAATAAATCACTGACTTCTTTAATAAGAAATCAGTATCTAGCTATTCTATATAGACAATGAGTGAATACTCTTCTCTTATTTCATAAGTGAGAATAGCTGAAGTAATATCTCAGCAGTGTCTCATTACTAAGAAAGAGTAATCTGCTGACCTTGTATAGAAGTGAGATTCTCTTATTTATCAATCAGATCTTTCTATAATATATCTGAATAATGTTATAGAGTGGTTGAAAACCAGTTCAGACAGGATGAAATTATCCGCATGAAAGTAATGAGCTGTGTGAAACTGCAGCAGAGCCTTGCCGCTGCTGAAAGCATGATAAATATTCTTTTCTGTGACATTAAAGAGATTCTCATTATCAGATTCATTATGACTATTTTAGCAAGCAGTTGTTAATAAGAACTGATATACTGTTAAATTATAATTTGTAGAATCTGCTTATTCATCTTATTATCATTCTACTGTTGACTATTTTTCATGCTGATAATCTTTGCTGACAATATTCTTCTGTAGAATGAAGAAAGAAGAAGCTTATAAAATGCATTCTTTTTAAACAGAGTTCAGAGTCTGTTTAAAAAGAACATGTTTTTATAAGCTTCTTTCTAATCAATATTAGTTAACTGTCTTCACTATAAACACTATTCTACACTATATTATCTCGAAAAGTGCTATTCTACATCATCACATGCTGTTGAAGTTAAATATGACTTATTCATAAGATCTTGATAAAAGATATAAGTACAGTCACTTAATTCACTGAACACCTGATCTTTTTCATCTGTACTTTGTAAAAAGCAGCTGTACTATTAGTACAGACACTCTGCTCACTGAACAGTCATAATATTAAGACTGTACTTTTTAAAAAAAGTGAAGATCTGTATAAAAAGAATAAGTACACACAGACACACTGAACAGGCTCTAATTAATTCAGAATCAATTCAGAATCAATTTAAAATCAATTTAAAATCAATTATTAACTATTTTTATCTTGATATATTTCAAAATTCTGTAAAACATCTCTTTATATTCTATATGAATTTATCTGTTTATTTAATTGATTATAAATCAGCTATACATGCTTTGATTGATTGATGAGCTGAATGAATGAGTGAATTGAAAGATTGAAAGTCAATTATCAACTGATTATTACTGTATTATGTGAGGTCAGAGTCATGATTATGTAATGAGGTCAAGTGGCGCACTTAGCGAGGTCAAGTTTTCTGTATACACCAATTACAGCGTAATATTATATGGTGGAAGGATTAGTAAGCCAGATCATGTGACCTGACACCCCCACTCACCAGAGTAACTATACACGATGCTATATACAAAATTCGCCTTCAAATCAAGTACAGGTACAAAAAATGACTGGAAAATGTGTAGCAATGAAAAACCAGCCATGAGATACATCATTTTTTATCCCCCTATCCCTTCATCTTCATATTCTCCTTCCAACGCGTATATTTCAAACAGTTGACCTCTTTAACACAGGCCTTGTAATAATATTTCCATTCCATGGAAGCTTTGGCGCGCGTGAGGTTTTTCGGGATCAGAAGTGCAGCGATCTCAGGATCGATGAGTAGGTCTTCAAGACTGTCCCCCACTGAAGCTTCCCCCACTGTAGTGATATCCCTTGTAGATGTCGGAGGGTCATCAGATTCAACTGTGGGTTCTGGGGAGTTCAGTGTATTCTGCACTAAAAGGGTAGGTATTCTCGCGGAGATATCATAGTCAATCCACTAATTATTAGTGAGTACAAGAAATAATGGACACTCAGGTTGGATTTCCTCATCAATGAACAGATCATCAATTGATGGATCAGGAATCGCTGCAGTCTCTTGACGGGCCGCAGTGGGTAGGCCTGGTGTCGCCGAAGGAATCGCCGCAGCCCCTTTACAGGCCGCATTGGGTAGGACCTTCGGGTTGTGCATTGTCGGTATCGATGGATCGGCAAGATGGAGGTCCTCCTGGAAGATGACGTCCTTTGATATGTATAAACGCCCGTTGGAGGGATCCTTGTGGGGTTCCACGAAACAGGCTGGCACATTGATAACCTCTGCGAGGTTTGCCATCTGATAGGTCTCTGATCCATCTGTAATGGATAGTTGAGTTCTACCCCCATTATTGTCCTCCTTTTCTTTGAATTCCTTTATCCTTGCAGCGTTGTAGATCCTCCAATTATCCGGAGCACTGTCAGGATTGGCCAACCAACAGGTGCCAAAGTGAGATCTCTCACATTCAGGACATGTAGATGGATTGCCCGATCCCCGATGGTTTCGGGAGCCCCCTTGAGTATTACCATGACCACGTCCATTACGGCCTCCACGGGCCGAATTCGATGTATTGTTGTTGGAATTGGTAGGTGTTGTGGTCGTTGTAGCTGTTGTAGCTGTCGTAGCTGTTGTAGCGGTGTTGGCCGCAGAATCTGTATTCTGTAGATTCTTTTTATCTTTTGGAGGATCAAGCCGCGAGCGGATCTCCTCCATGAGAAGATCAACATCCAATACCACAGCTGTGGATTTGGAATCCTGTATCTCCTCAATCTTCTTCTGAACATAATTCCTCCAATTTTTGGGTAGGACTGAGTAGAAGGTATCAAATATCCACACATCTGGTGGGGAAGCATCCATCATCTCCAACTTCGTGATGGCGGACCAGAACTTATCAAAGAATGTGTGTAGATTGGTGACCTGTGTGCCACCAAGTGACATGAATTCCAGAACTGCCTCACAGTGTAACTGTGTTTTTGGGACAGAGTATTCCTGTTTGATCGCATTCCAGAGGGTATAAGTGATCCGATTTTCATCATATTTGGAGAAACATGGTCTGACACCTGCACCCAAGGAGTTTGAGATGAATGTGTAGAGCCACCAGTTTCTGGCGTCCCAGAATGGTGCCCATTCATCATCTCTTTGTAGAGGGTTCTGAGTCTGTCATTTCTCTATCATATATCAACACTGTGCATCAACCAGTTTTGATTTCATGAAGATGCTCCATGTGGTGTAATTGAATGTGCCAGTTAGACTGTTTGGCCTCACAGTATTCTTGACATCTTCCTTGAATTGAGAGATTGCCTTGCCAACACGGCTATCCGGTTCATAAAGATTGAATTCCAACCTTTCACCGAGATTAGGATCCCATGTGGCTGTACAGGCTGTTGAGGTGATGGCAGGATGATTGTTGACATCCTGTGATCAATCTGTGAAGGTTGAGGATCTCTTTTGACAGAGTTTTTCCAGTTGTAGTTCGAGTTCTAGGACTCTACGCCTCTCCTTCTCCATCTTGAATGTCATCTTGAGATGTTCCATCTGTTGGTCTGATATTGCCTCGCCTGAACAGTTGACTTCATGAGAACCAGCATCAAGCTGTTGAGTAGATCGGGGGGCCGGCCTGACCGTGTCAGGAGCTGTATTCAAACCAGCTTCGAATCGAGAGGGTGTTTCGGGGTGTTCATCAATGGAGCTTTCAAATGCTCCAGGAGGATGTCCACTGGCAGATTGTGAGTGTGAAGAATCATCATCATCTGCAACTGACCCAGTGGAAAGGACGCGAGATCGCGAACATGTATGTGGGTGAGATTGTATTGAATCCGCCATCTTGATGTTCGTTTTATTGAATCCTTGCCAATATCATTCTCTTTTTCTTGCTTTTTTGCAATGTGGTGTGTTTTCTGCAAGCCTCTTTTTTAAGCAAGCAGTAGTATTTTTGATCAACAAGATCTCAAACGCATCAATACTGATAGAATAAGACAATTTTAACTCCTGATGAGCGTATCGAATGAAGCAGTAGTTAAAATAATGATTATCAACAAGGAATCCCGAATTGGCAGTGATTTTGTGCAAAACAGGTCTCATAACCTGTGGAAGGTGTAAAGCTTGTGTGATTGAAAGGTTGCTAGCTTGTGGAAAGTTATATGGTGGAAGGATTAGTAAGCCAGATCATGTGACCTGACAAATAAAGCCACGAAAAAAATACATAAAATAAAAATAAAAATAAAAAAGACTAACTTATGACGGGTTATCTATTTTCAGCTTGAGAGCCGGGAAAAATAATTACAATAACGGTAAAGTAGATGTACATGTACATGTATGTACAGTACTACATAAATGTCATTATATTTGGGGTACTTAATGCTTTTTTGGGTCTGCCGATTAAGGTGGACCGGCCCGAACCTTAAAAGTTATCCTATGTGGATCGGGCCGATTAACTCGGGGCCGGTTTTGTGCGTCACTTGTCACATCGATAAGCCCCCCTTCCCCCCCCCGCGGGGCGTTTACCAAAACATAGGAATGCCTCGTTAATAATGAAAACGAGGCTCACCGACCAAACGGTTGTCCCAGGTACGAAGATAATCATTGGATGAAAAAAGAAGGCGGCTACCTAGCACCTCCCGAGCTGAGTTACCTAGAAAATTGTGTGCGCTCGGCCTCTTTAAAATGGAATTTGACGGAAGTTGCACAGAGAGAGAGAGAGAGAGTCTGCGACAAGTTGTCGAAGCAGCCTCATTCTCACAATTCGTCTATGGACAAAAAGGGTGAGAGGGTCACCGAAACTGGAGGGACGGAACCTCTCTGGAAACTACCGCCCAGACATCGCGAAAATCTAATAATTATGAAGACGGATAAAATTATTGACCCCGGCAGACCAGAGAGCAGCAAACTACAGCGTACAGCACAGTGAGTTAAATGGTTTCTCCCTAGCGCTCCTTTGATGTAACTATCTCTGTTAATAGGGAGTGGAGGATTAAATAGCGAATGGCTATTCCCTAGTGTGTACTCTGCCGCTTGTCTGTGATTATCGCAATCAAGCGAAGTCAAGGACAACTTTTGATTTCCGTTCATCTGTTAGAAAGCCTTGTCAATCCTACCTGATCTGTCGCCTCATTTCACAGGCGTTTTATGAGGAAAATCCCAAATACGGAATTATTCGCCCGAATGGGCAAATAATCCAAATTGCTTACAGGTGGAGAGTGAAGCGTAGCTTTGCATCTATGAATAAGCGGTAGGTTGGGTAGATCGCTACTTTTGGATCAAGTTTCTCGGAGATATTCCGTTCGTGACTTTCCAACAAGAATTCTAACTTAACAGGGAATGATTAGATAATTGAGGAGTTCAGTGAAGCTGGGCTGGGAAGAGATGAAAAGTAAATTTCTGCAAATAATCTGTTTAATTAGACATTATAAGTTGTATGTTTCTCCAACTCCTCCAATTCCAATCCCGAAACAAAATAAGATCACTGTCGAGCTTTTCAACCTTTGCTCTCCTGAGGAAGTAGATTGTGGTTCACCTAAGTCTACATTCGAGGACGAGACGGATTGTGAGATGAAATAGGAAGATTAGAAATTTGTGAATGTTTCTAGAAGAAGTTTTGTTAAAAACAAGAGAAAGAAAAAATGAAGAAAAAATGAAAATGAAAAAAAATGAAAAAAGAAAGAAAAGAAAAGGGTAAACAGACTTGAACTCAAGAAGTCGTAGGGTCCTCTGGTTTCCCCTTCATACCTCCCAAATGATTTCGGCTCCTCTGTGAAAAAGACTATTATTTTAAAACAAAGCAGAACATTCTATACCTAGCCTCTCCAACTTCCCGCATCTGTTGGCTCTGGTGTAAACGTGGTATCTTCATAAGTGCCAAAACTCCCAATGTGCATATAACTGTTGACGAGATAAAAGGAATAAGAAGCAAAAAATGAAACAGAAAGAGGGGATTTTATGGGGATAATGGGAAGGGAAAAGTGAATGAAAAAAAAGCTGGCTAATGACAAGATAATACTTAAAGTACCTAGAGAAAATGTCAACGCAAAGAGGGATAGATAAAAGTAAGGAGCAAAATATATGTACAAATAGGCAAAGGCAATGATTGCTTCCATTCACGAGGCATCTGGTCTAGTTACCTGTATTACGTGGCTAAACCCTTGGAGGATCAGGAATACTCAGAGCCTTTCATCACATCTCATCGACAACTCCAGGAGCGACGAAACGTGATCCACTCAACCCCCCCTCTCCCGGGTAATAAAGAAGCGGCGCCCAAATCCTCCAATGTAACACTCCGATATGAGCCAGGCGTTTTCCGAGGCATTGGATATCGGGTACCTGCGGCCACGACACGTAGTCGGATCGTTGCTCGAATTGTTGGGAGTCGGCAATGTCAAGCGCGGTCATATGCCAGTACTGACTCGCGAAGTTAACTGCAATATTTTTTAACTCGCGTTGAACGCATTGACGGACGGCCTCGAAAGGGCGGTTTCTGGGAGAAAGCTGATCTGATATGAAGTGGATGACGCGTGTGTCCGGACACGTAACCAAACTGCTTCCTTCTTTCATCATATGAGCCATCCGTGCAATTTCTAATGCAATACTAGGCGTGTTGGCTTCGAACCGGGCGATCAGGGAGTGTCCGGATACATCATTTTCGTGAGGGGTGTGTTCATCATACTGGAGGATTGACAGTATGCGAGACTGAAGAGAGTAATATAGCGCTGCGGAAACGTCGCCGTTAACAACCATGGTGAACGCCTGACAACATAGTCGAAGCAAAGTGAATGTCTCGATATTGGTTCGAATATTACATAGTCGGTCGAAGTCGAGCGCGAAGGAATCAGGAAACGGGGGTTGGCAAAAGGAGCAGAGATTTAAAGATAAAGCTTCGAATAAGATCTTCGCAGATTCGAAATCGTTGTGGACTGGTTCTGAATCGGTGTGGAACTCTCGCCAGTGCACAAAATACCAGATTTTTGAATTTTGAGCTTCGCTAGAAGACTTCATGGATTTCTTTATAAAGAAATCGTAGTGTTTTCGAAGATACTCAACAGAGTCCTCGATCAAATATAATCTGAATGCACGTATCTGATGATTTGCGACATCCTATATTCGAACATGTTAACAGTTGCTCCGTCAGATCTAGCTGATACGAGGCTTCTACTTACCAGTTTCATTGACTCAAGTATCGCAAAAAGCTGATGGAGGCCTTTCGATACTTCATTCATATCTTGAAATTGGCATCCATTTCGAATATGTTCGACCATATCATCCGACATATGATCCCTCATTGGCGCACAATGTGTTTTCAACAGGATGGCAAGCCATTCGGCAAGTCTGACCAGATTTAGGACCCCTTTTTCAACCTGCGTCATGAGGAACTTGGTATCTAAGTGTTCTTTAATATACACACGGTCGCGATCGGGAACAAGAGTCAACAGTATTTCTCTCAGTGCATCAAGCATATTTGGTAGTCTTGCCTGGAAAACCTGGCAAGAAGAAGACCTGCGTGCACCAAAAAACAAGTTGATGCTGTTGGAGGCGCCGAAGTTAAATATCGAAATTTCGATGGCTATGGCTTGCCAGTAGTCATTGGCCATTTTGGCCTTCGCAGGGCCACCAACAGGTCGAAAATGAAGATCCTTATCAAAATTGACATCCATGCGAAGCTGGGTGTTCTTCATAATGGCATCTAGGCCAAGTTCAGAGAGCGAATCTGCCGTCACCGGCGGGAACCTGCTGGCGCGATGCAATAATAACACCTCTTCCGGGCTAAGACTCAGCTGAGGCGGAATCAGCATTGCCTTGCTGTTTATGTCGGCGACTGAGGAGTGTGGTGATGGATAGTCGCCATCAGCAGTCGGTGATGATGCTCTGGGAGGACTTTCATTCATGAGAGCAGGTGAATGATCTCCACGCGGAGACTGTGAGTTTTGACCCAATTTCCCCAAAGCATTTTGAGATTCATCATTTGAATCATTTGTGACGTAGTATGATTTGTTAGACACATCTTCACTCTCCCCATGCGCTCTTCTCTCTTCGTTTTGCAAACCCGTCTCCATATGGAAGAGAACGTTATGTTCAAGCTTCTTCTGGAAGGAAAAGGGTAGAAAGTGTTCTACTATCCACAATGCCTTCTTCCCCTTTACAGTGGCCCGCTTTGATAAAGAAGACGTTTGTTTTGGCTGCAAACGGTAGATTGGTATCTCCTGGAAAGCCAGCGAAGCAGTCTCAGCGACAGTCCTGATAATATCTCATAAGAAAGGAATGATCTTTGAAAAGGCAACAAAAACGCCTTTCGAGAGAGAAAAGAAAGGGTTACCGTACAAGATAGCATGCAAATTGTTCGGCAAGTTTGGGTCAGGGCGGCCCGCGCTGAATGGTTCGTGGTGAGTGATGTGAGGCACTGTAGAAAAGTATTTACTGACAAGCGGAAGCACTTCAATAATCAATTAAATATTAGAGCGAAGAGATCGATAATTAAATTCTGTGGCATTTGGAGCGTTTAGTAGTCAACCTTAATTTATTTTAACGACGGGTCTAAGCGTACTTTAGGAACTTGGACAAAGTGTAGCGAGGTAGCCGAGTCCAGGATAAGAAGAAGAAAGCAATGGTCAAGAGTTGCCACATTGTTTCAGTTTGCTTGGATATTGTAAAAGTGAGGCTGTCAGCCACTAGCTATGCTGACTACCTCGCATTACCCAATCTGCGAACAGTTCAATTGGAGAATTCGGCATGGACAGTTTTTCTCTCCATTATTAAAGCCGGGCATTATGCACGGGGGTATCTTGATACTGTGGCTCGCCCATATTGGTGGTGAATCTGGTAAACACATGCCGGAACTGGCATATCTCAATCTACTACAATATTTTGTATGTTCTTCCTCGACCAGGACGCTGCTGGTGGGCTTAGGAATTCCTATTCATTTCGTACTTGCCAAATTCAAGGCGTTGGAGGGTATTCCAAAAATGCTAGGACAAGTCGCAATCAAGGATGCAGAATCGAATATCCCATTGATACTAGATATGCTGGTACCCGTCAGTAATACGCGAAGACCAGCCTTTTATTGAGGGTAGTGGGCGGCCGTGACTTGGGGCTTGTTGCAGGTGGTCGTGGTCAAGAGCGTTGCTGTGCGTTACAACTTTTCTGTCAACAGAAAGGTCGATTGTCAAGAGGTAGTTCCCTGCACTTAAAGCCACCAGCCATCCTACCTGAGTCCCTTCCTTCTTCCCATGGATCGGATATTTCCGAAATTGAAATTCATGACATTTTCCAATCCGTTGGCCCTTCTTTTAAGGATGAACTGGCTAGACAATCATGGTTGTTAGGCCAATGCGGTCCGTCATAGAATGCATCATCAGCCCTCTGCCGATTGGAAATCTGGTATGGAATGTACGTGTATTTCCAAGTCACACTGGCCGTATCGAGACATAGTTGTCTTTGGCGCCCCCTTCCTCACAGAATCATGGAGCAAGATTAAAATGTTGCAATACTTCTTCTGCTTCCCATAGGTCAAATTAAAGGCAAATTCCTTGAGATTACTCTCTCTCCCCACAGATAGTTTGTGTAAAATGATTCCTTGGCCGGTACTACAGTTGGTTATCTTATCGGAGAGGGCAACAAGTAGGTTGTGCGATTAGACAGAAAACCATGCCGGAGTTTTAGTTGCCGATTTCAAGTGTGACCGGGTGGTCACTGATTGGATTTAGTGAGTCAGGAGTCGAGACTGCGTTGTTGGTGGAGGATCTGCCATTTCCTTTCTTTCTTTCTTCCCTGGTTGTATTTTTTGCTTTTTCTGTTTCGTTTCCTTGCTCTTTCTCCCCGTCGTGGGGTTAACCTAACAATCGTCCTTCGTTTGTCTGTCATAATGGACAAAGAGAGGGCATAGAAAACGAAAGTCCTCTCAAAGCCCTTGATGATAAAGAATTTTCCGCCATTGTTTCACTTATCTCATGTAGCTTTGTCAGATCAATTATCGCCGTCCCTTGCTCTCATTATGATGGATAGAGCAAAAATCAATGGAGTAAGTGGGACAACTAGGAATGAAAAGAACTAAAACAAGGGATTATAATGCAGCCAAATATGGAGCAGTAGCGAGTGGCGCATTGGGAGCAGGTAGACGAAGGAGGGATCCAAATGCTGGGGATAATTATGTGGGATGGTCCCGACACACGGCTAATCCTCAAATAAGAGTAGGAAAACGACTCGCCTCACTTTTTCCGCTCCAGTCCAGTCCTGTATTTTTCGAAAGTAACCCCCGCCATCCTTTACTTCGCGGGCCCTGGACCCGGGGCAACGTCGTCAACATGAATAGCAGCATCCATAGCGTCCCAACAACAAAGTAGCGGTGGAGTCGGTGAGAGTCTTCGTTGAGGAACAAGTCTACAGAAGCCGGGAGCCGCGAGATGGCCGGGACAAGACGTAGGGTTAGGGCCAAGGCTGTCACGTGGGTTTGTTAACTACCCAGGTACCTTCCCTACTACGGGTTCTCATCTGGAAGCCTCCTTTCTACTTACTACATCTGTTCTTGTTTGAACGGTATTTGAAGTATCCTATCATGAACTTCTCCTACAAGACTAGTCTCTGGTCTTTGGTTGGATGGATCTACGCAGCCACGGAGTCGGAGATGCCTTCTGCGGTGGCACTTCATGCAATGGATTCCGCTGAAGGTGTTTACCACAGATTGGCCTGAGCTCTGCAACACGGTTGATGAGTTCGATAGAATATGGCCGTTGCATCAGCCTTGTTATTTTCGGATTGCATCCCAATCTCGTCCTATATCGCTCGTTGATCATGTCTGGCAAGCGCATCTTGCACGCTCTCGAGGGGAAGCCACGGAATTTCCAGGTTTTAGATGCGGGCTGCCGCGCTGGAGAACGTTGTTGAAAGCGACCTGATCTAATACGACTGTCATACTATATGGCACAGAATCTCGTACAACAAACTCACCAATCTTTCTGTTCAACCTTTTAGTTCTGTGGGCGAGGTCATTCCGAATTGCCAGGTGACATTTTGCTTCGGAAAAGGCGTTTCGAATGACATTGGCGATTCCAAGAATCGTCCCATACTATGGTCTGTACATCGAGCTTCGTTCATGTAGGACAATATTATGCACCCCACTTGATGTAGCAAATTCTACACGCTTCAATCTAGCAGAACGAATACGGCATTCCCCTGATTTGTTGCCAAGTTGATTGCCACCATATAACCTGTGACCAGTCCATAGAGGGCGGGGTGCAGAATGGATTTCCCCAATAACCTCGCTGATTATCTATACGGATATGAATTGCTCCGGGACCTAGGTTTTCGGGTTCAAGGGCTTCTTTTATCAACAGTACGTGATTTCGAGAGCAGCATGGAGATAGCCTCTAGTTATTCAACCTCCAAATTTATTGCGAGCGTTAGGTGATTGCTACTCATAAGGCACTTCTATCAACTACCGTTATTATGGGAAGAGAACCCCGACGTTATTGCTGGAACCATCACACAAATGTTGTTATCCGCTTGCTATACAATGATGATGTGGCATTTCCAAGCTGTTGTTTACTGCTAAACGATGACCGTGGTCTATTCCCGTTAACCTGCGATTTCCTGTTGTCCGTTTGTCTGTATATATAACCCACCCCTGTCTATTTGATATGGCAGTAAACCAGCTACAGTGTCTTTTGATCGGCAGGCTAACGGGTGAAAGTCAACTTCATAGTGCGGTCCCCCGTTCATTTCTACTTCTTTTCATTCTCACACTCGTTAACCCATTGCTCATGCAGTCTGGGCATGCAAACCCGCCACGGAAAAGTCATTCTCATGCTGCTTCCCGAATAGCAGAAATATCTAGATCACGTGATCTGTCATCATCCACCGTGGACCTGTCTCGACCCCCATGTCCTCCTCTGTACCAACAATCGAGTAGCATATTTGGAGGCAAACAACGACGGGATGGAGATATGCTCACAAGGGATCTACCACCACCGTCGAAAACTATGCCTTCACCTTAATCTATTCAGAGTCACTTTTGAATCACGGCAAAAGGCGGGCTGCGCCCCATAACAATCACTGCTTATTGAGACCAATATGCGGCGACGAGGTGTTCCAATGCATGAAATATCTGCTGTTTATTTTTATACTGGGAATCCCCAGTTATTTAACCTATTAATTGATGAAATCAACGTCACTGAAACCGTAGTGATGGCCTTGAAGGGTTATTTCAACATGTACTGGCTTTAATATCCAAAATATCTGCCCGATTCGCCCTCAACTCCAGGATTTCATCCAAGAATCTCAAGTTGTCTAAGAGTTCGAATCAACTTGTTGAGTTGCCTTCGCCTTTTAGAGCGTATAGCGATATTGGTGGCTTGCTTGAACCTTCTACATTTCCCAAAATCAGGCACGATGAACTGGGCTGATATACTTTCATTCCTATCATTTATCTGGGCGGTTCCAAATTTGTCCCCCAGTGGATCCTACAACCGTTCTGGGACGAACACAGCGCGATTCAGGGTTGAGTCACTCCCAGGGAATCCCATTATTCCTTCTAGCTATTCTGGATTAATTCCAATACCGGGAAGGGAAGAAGGGAGCGCCTTGTTCTTTTGGCTTTTTGAAGCTGAAAACTACGAAGACGATGAAAATCTCATCAGTAAGTCTCTCATGCTGTAAAAGTTGCTACGCAAGACTTCTTACCGCCGCGATAATTTGTTGACGAGTTGATAAATTAGTTTTTTTCAAGGGCGGCCCTGGTTGCAGCTCCGTCATCAGCGCCCTCTCCGAAAATGGGCCTCTCGCGTTCGTCCACAATGATTCAATACCAACTCCAAACCCTCACTCGTGGACGAAATTGGGGAATGTTTTATATATCGATCAGCCGGTCGGCACTGGATTTTCCACATCCAGCAGTCTGGAACCTATTGCGACAAACGAAGAAGTCACGTCGAACCTTTATACCTGGTTAACAGAGTTCTATCGCGAATTTCCTTATCTGCTGGAAAAGAAGACACACCTAATGGGAGAGTCGTACGCGGGGATTTTCGTCCCCTATTTCGCCTCCAAGATCGTCGAACATCAAGATTCACTCCCAATTAATCTACAGTCAATCTCTATAGGGAATGGGATAATCGGGAACAACGCTGTTATGGCTGACGTTACAGTGGGGGCGTACCTGGAAATGCATGCGCACAGCCTTAATATCCCCCAAGATATCATAGATAGCTTTTCCTTAGCTGATCATATCTGCAAATTTGATACTATTTTGGACGAGGCAAACGAGCACCCACCAATTGGCCCGATAAGTGTTCCAGGAAACCCAGAGAACCTGAACTTTAGGCGTGACGAACCTTGCAGGGCGCCATCGGACAGTGATGCCGGGCCAATGGCTGAATGCAACATATACCCGACGGCACCTAGCGCCGTGATGGAATCAATTTTGAATTCAACTTGTCACGGGCCATGTGCGACTTTCTCTACTGCGGCAGACTACTTTGAGACGCGTTCCAATTTAACGCACGACTGCTTTAATCTATACAACATCAAATATGATTGCAACACCTTCAGCCCCCTGGATGCCCTAACTGCCTATTTAAACCGGGCAGACGTCCAAAATTCCCTGCATATTCCGCAATCTCACCCCAAGGATAAGAGCACGAAGAGTGAGAACAAACCATATCCGTTTCAAGGATGCAATAGCGCGATTATCCGGTCTCTTCTGGGCCCGATCAACCGCCCACCACCGCCGGCATATTCCATCATACCAGAACTGATCTCGACACACAATATCTCTACGCACATATACCATGGCAAGTTGGACATGCTCGTCAACCACATAGCTGCCGAGGTTGTCTTACAAAACATGACCTGGAACGGACTTCAGGGTTTCCAGCGACGTCCCGGGACTCCTTTTGGTTTTCGCAACCGCAGCAGTGGTGCTGGATCCATAAAATCGTCTCCAAATGATGGGACCAACACCTCTAGTGCAGGCATATGGGCTGCAGAGCGCGGTTTGACATATCATCTTTTTAATGAAGCGGGACATGTTGTGCCATCTGATCAGCCGGAGGAGATGTTTTGGTATGTGAAGGAAGTTGTTCTAGGAGGAGGCGAGTGAGGGAGTTGGGCTATGTATGTTTTCTTCTTTTCTCCATGTAATACTCTCGATTGTATCAGAGGCTTGGTGGAAACGGCGCTGAGTTTTACACAATACTACTTTTGCTATTCTAGGGAACTTGTAGCTTCTAGTACCAAAATAGTAGGATTTTAGATAGCTATTTTCTGTTAAAGGCAAAGTCTGAAGTAAGATATGTAAAACGGTTGTTGAAAATAAATTTTGGGCGCTACCAGTCAATGGTCTCAGGGCGCCTCTCCCTGAACTTACGGCAAAAACAAGGAAGGAAAGAAAACAGTAGAATAAATAAGACAACCAGGTATCTTAGCCATATCTTTGCCCCTTCATCTTCTCCAGTGTTCTCCCCAGGCGGTCTTCCCCATATATATTGTTTGTAGCAAAAATAAATAGGAAAGGAAATTGAAGTAGAAAAACCTTCTCCGACGCAATGCAATTTTCCGTAAAAAGTAGTAGCAAATAGCAAATAGACATATGTATTTATAAAGGCATGAGTGAGGGACCCCGAGGAACGTAATCACACGCAGTATTTCCCCCCCGCTTTAACACCAAGAAACGATTTTGAAGTTTTACCAACTTTGGCAATATATGAAAGTAGCACTAATATAACATGAGAGCATAGATGTCGGGATATTCATAGAAAGATAAATGTTTTCGCATGGCAGCATTATAACATGAGTCACGAAGGAGAATGTGCCTGCACAGTTGTACAGCGATAAATCAGGGATGAGGGTACTGAGCAGGAGGATGTTGTATGATGGCATCATCGACGCGCAAATATCGGTGCCGGATTCGCCGTGTTGAGCAGAGAGTCTGCTCTTTGGAACACGTCACCCGCGAAGAATCGATCACTATACGCGCTCGCAGGTGTTGATGGTACCGTTGCTTGAGCTGCTGGACCAAGCGCAGCGCTTAATGGTGTTGCAGGTAGCGGTACGGACTGTGATGATCCGTTGGTTAGCGTCGAGCCCACACTCAACATTGTCGACGTCGAAGAATTGGTGAAGTGTTGGAAATGATGGGTTTGGCTGTGAGGTGGATAGAATGGCGTGGGATTAGAAGTGTTCAGTTCGGCAAGGTAGGACCAAGGCGAAGCATCAATCAGACGGCCAGCTTCCCTGCATGCTTTCTGCACAGGACGAAGTGTAATGACCACTTCTGGGTTGAGCAAGTGAAAATTCCTCGCCTCCCGCATGTCTGTTACTAGCTCGATGAATGCCTGTATGAAAGTTTTGCAAAGTTGCCAAAAGTCGCGCTGGTTCCGTGTTCCATCACCAGGTTCTTTCAATTTCATGTTTGAAAGGCGGTTATGGAGGGATTCGGAGACATCATGGCAGACACGGCACCGGTGAATTAGCCTGCGCCAGAGCATTTGTAGTTCTTCCGGAGCTCCGGTCTCTTCGGCTAATTCAAGGTACTGGGTGAATTGCCGTGCAACTAAGGGTAGGGCATGCAGCGCCGCTGTGCAGGCGGATGAGAGCTGAATGAATATCTTCTCGAATATTCGATCTACCTCAACCTCATCTAGACCTACGAATGTGTTGACGCGACCAGAGGATGAGGTATTGATTGCGCCGAACGTTTCGACGGACCGGGGAGTGTTCGCTAATGATGATGGCCCCGAAGCTAAACGGGTATTGGATCTGCTGCGTGACCTACTTCGGGCCCCATAGTTCAAGGGCGACATCGGTACCGATGGTACTGTGTATGGAGCGTTGAATTGCGCGGGAGTGGTGCTTTGATTTGAACGCTGGTAGGTCATATCGTTTGAGTTCGGAACGACAATGGGATGCACAATGGTAGTATCGCTGCGTAATCGCCTGGTTGGTGGGTGTCTGTCTCTAGTGGGGGTTGCAATTGACTCGCCTGCGTCAACAGGGTCCTCTCCGTTCGCTATTGATGAAGAGGCTCGGTTCATTTTCCCAGAGAGAGTTGATTGCTCAGAATGAAAGCTAATACCAAGGAGGGAACAAGCATTTCGAAGTTCAGTCAGGCTCCCAAATATCATGAGCAATAGCGAACGGAGGAACTTGGGATCCCCGAGCGAGACAGCCCTGCTGACCACGAGTCGAAGTTGAGTGCCAACATGTATGTAGGCCATGATACAAGTTTCGCACTCGCGTTTAACCACCTCGCAAGCTCTTATTGCCCCCTCAGCGTCTTGCAGGTCGCCTTGTTCTGCACTTGTTAACGCGTCATCTAGCTGCTCCAGATGAGTTGCGGCATTGTAGAAAACGATCTCAAGACTATTCCTCCTTGCATCCTCACCCTTGAGCACATGTATCAACAAGGAAACATGGGGATGGAGCTGGTATAGGGCATATAGTATTCCTTTTGCAACCTCGATGATAGGATCCTGTGCTCTCACTTTGACTCGATGTTCTGGAAGACTCGACATCCGGCGAACAAAACCGTCCTTTAACTTTCTCCGGTCTCTCGGGCTGCCGGGGCTGGATGAGCTGCTACCGCCTCCGGGCATACCACCAGGCTTAGATCGCAAGATAGATCCATGACTCAAACCACGTAGGTGGCTGTTACGATATGGTCGTCCCTCGTCTAGCGTTCCTAGGTCTGTGTTTTTCCTGGTAATTAAGCCCATACGTCTATTTCGAGATGCACCTGGCCCTGCGATCAAGCCTTCGCTGTTGCTTCGATTTCGCTCATTTGTTCCCGAAAATGGCGCAAACCCTGAGCGTGAGTTTACCCCGAGGTGTAAAACACCGTTCTGCCCAGACGCCATTCGATGATGAGAGCGGATCGGGATGGGGGGTGGTCGTGACAGCGAAGGAGATCTGGATGAGTGTGCAGACTCGGACCCGTTTGTTCTTGGAATCACGGGGAACCGGTTCCCACGTTTTAAAGGTTTCGGGGTGTCGACCAAGGTTTCACTGTTGAAGGCGTCAGCGGTTAGACTTCTACGCTCCTAGAAAAAGAGCTACACACCTGCTCTCGCTGCCAACATCAAATTCGATATGTGTTACAGGTTGTCTATTTTTCAGGAATATTTTTAGTTCCGCTGTGATCGCAGTTTCTTTCTCGTTGTCTGTCATCTCAGACGCCGAAACGTCCGTTTCTTTGAGTTCGAGAACTCGTTTTAGAGGATACTTTAGTGCGTTGCCTGAGACCTTCAAGACTTGCAACTTGGTCATATCTGCCAATTCCGTCGGTAAATCATCAAGGAGGTTCTGCATGATAGAAAGGACCCGTAATGACGTAAGATTCCGGATGTCTTCTGGAATTTTGGTGATTTTGTTCCGGCTAAGGTCCAGGATTTCGAGAAGATTTAAATTAAACACCTGTTCGGGCATAAGTGTCTGAACAGCCAAAAGAATAGGTTTTATGGACGTACCCCTTTGGGGAACTGGGTGAAGTTATTCGCCCGAATATTGAGATACCGGAGGTGGGTACATTCTGAAAACCGGAGTGGGATATGGTCAATATGGTTGTTGGACAGGGATAATCTATGGAATAGGCAAGTTAGATAGATGTTATATAGACATATAAAGAGGATCATGGGTAGAGGAACCAAGGAAATGGTTTACCTCGCGACTTCATCTTTGATAATATCGACCATCGATTCCGGAATCCACCCAATATTAGAATGGCCCAAGTCAATCGTCAGCTTGGGTCTGACCACATCATCGACCGCCTCACTCCCAGCCAACGACCGCTTCGTTTCCTGCAAACCATTTTCCACAGCCCGCTTGATGAGTTCAAGTGTCTCCTCTTGGCCGAGTATCTTTCTGTGGGATTGAGAGCGGGTGTCCCCACGGATGGATGGTTCAAAGGAAGCAGGAAGTACCGGGGGATAGGTAAACTCCTTCGTGTCCTCGTTTGTGTCACTACGATATGATCGAAGCGGCCGGGTAGTATCCTCGGTGCGGGTCATGATGCCGAGCATTGCAACTCAATCCACGAAGGGAGTGATGAGGACATCAAGGAGGGGAAAGAACTATCAAAAGCTCTGGCCGTCGCCAACTCCTTCACGAGCTAGGAATGGGCCCCTAAAAGCGGCATAATAGGGGTGTTATATCCTAGCAACTGAGGGTGCCATTAAGTTGACATCGACATCGGGTTTTGTAGTTGGGAAAGGATAGCACTTGGGCAGAGTCAGGAGTTCTGCTGGGCAAATAGCCCTTTGTAGAGGGAGCAAAGGGGCCAGTGAAGAAGCAGAACCACCGGGCGTCGGGGCAAGAAAGCTGCTTGAGGAGGAGAAGGGTGTGTGTCGCTGGTGGATAGGACAACCACCAGCGAGGTACACGCCAATCTGAAACAGTCAAGGGTTTGGAATGACAAATGGGCTTCGTGCAACGGATAATCGGCTGTCCATCCAATCAATTGCAACAAAAACAATTGCTATTATGGTCGTTCTTAAGCCGCGATCACCAGATAATCCGCTGGCCCCAGGGAATTTATTGCTGTCGTCTTTGTGTCTATGTCTTTGACACTGGCCTCATCGCGTTGAGATGGACCGGAGGCTGGACCTTTGAATCACGTGATTTAGGCTTATTCTTGGCGCGAGCCGGGAACGTTGGAGTCTTGGCAGGGCCGGGGTCTGGAACAAAGCAAGGATGATATTTCTGTAATCTGTATATCTTTTTTTTTTTTTTTTTTTTTTTTTTTTTTCCTCAGGCGCTGGTTTTGGCCTGATACCGAGAAACAGTGATGTCAAGGAATCGATTATTGGAGACATATTATACCCGTGCTGCAGAGAGACCAGAAATCTCCAGATTGGCATGCAATACATCAATGAGTATCACAGGGAAATCTCTAGCTACTGAGTGACAGTTTGTGGTATTTTCAGCTAAAAATACAAAGTGGAAATATACGGCTTGGTATACCAGAGTTTGTTTAATACTACTCAGTGCATGGCTCCCCGGAATGACCTCTAACAATGAATAACCCCACAATGTTACTAGATGGGAGACCGTGATGGCACTTCGGCTTCTGCTACTTCAGGCGCTGCTATCACATCTTCCTCATCTATCAGAGGGGCCTCCTCGTCGGGTTCGCCGCTCTCTTCCCTAGCACCAGTAGAGCCGGTGAAAGCAGCCAGACGCTGCTCCATCGCTTGGTTTTCACTCTCGGCCCATACCTTCCATTTCTCATATTCTTGATTCTCCAGTTCCATTCCAACAGTGTGCATATCTGGCCCGAAATATGCGCCTGTCGCCAGGGCCTCCTCCTGGGCAACCCTTCGCTCGACATCCTCCTGTAGACGCAGCTGATAGAATTCGCGTCGGGCAATATCATATGCAGCGCCTTTAGTCATATCCGGGACATTGTTGAGGAGGTATAGTTGCCGTTGTACGACACTGTATAAAAAGTACAAGTGGAAGATTATCAAGTTAGCCAATTTGTATAT